ACAGATGAACCACTCAAAAGTAAAGTTGGTCATACTTAAGCTAGTCAAAGTTCTAATCAAATGAAAGCTAGTGGTGAGTGTTTTTTAACCAATTATAGATATTTTTTTCGTTGATTGGTATCATCGTTTTGGTGAAGATGATTAAAACGATTATAATATTCATTGCATTGTATCTTAAGACAAATTGTTTTCATTTATTGCAAGCAAGTTATTTGTGTTGTTTGTCTTTGAATCATGTCAACCAATAACATAACAATTTACTTTATTAAAAAAAGTAATGAAATTTCTTCATTTTTAATTAAGAGTATGGATGGTGGAAACATAGACCTTGAATCAATGTTTTAAAAACTGGATTGAATTGTCCGGTTGAATCGATTGAACGAATATGGTTGGGTCAATCTTTTAAAATTGTTAGTGGATCAAAATTAGAGTTAAATCGGAAAAATCATATTTAACCTTCTAAAATCATTCAAACTAAAGAACTGAAGTCGGTTTCGTAAAACCGTCCAGTTCATAAAAAAATATATCAAATTGATTTTTTTTTTAATTTTAATATGTTAATATCAAAATCTATACATTCCTCAATCACAAAAAGAAAATTATGTGTGTTTTTTACAACCATGCACACTTTTAATGTCACTCCATTATAGTTTTTCTTTTAACCACACTTCATCATCATGTCGTCACTTTCAAACATAGTCATGATGTTTGTAACGCCCCGATTCTGATTTCTCATTTTTGTTGAGTCTTTTATTTTATTTGGGTGATTATTATTTTATTTATGGAATTGGTGTGTTAATATGTTATGTTTGCATATTGTGTTGTTTTATCGTCTTTGAGAGTTTTCGGGGAAATTAGGTTGGAGGGTATTTTAGATATTTCTTAATTAATGTTAAGTTAGATATTTTGTGAGAAGATGAATTATAAGATATTTTGAGAGTAAAAGAAATAGAAAGAATGAGAGTAGAAAGATATAAGAGGGAAAGAGGAAAGAAAAGAAAAAGAGAGAAGGAAAAGGAGAGAAAGAAAGAGGAAGAAGAGAAAAGAGAAGAAAAAGAGGAAAAGCTTGTAGATCTTCAAAACAACTTCTAGGAATCGATTTAATCGGGTAAGGGTGTGAAATCTTATTATCTCATCAATGTGTATGATTATGTATGTGTTGTTTGGATTGTTTGGTTGTTTTTCTACATTTTCCATTTTAGGTCGAATGGGATTAAATCGATAGAAACCGATGTTTTCACGGTTAGAATTTGAAATAATGGTGTAGTTTAGTCGAGGAATGTGAGGCCAAGACTATTGGAACTTGTTTGAATAAAATCGGGTGATTTTGTGACTTTATGACATTTTGGATTGTTGAGGGTTTGTGTAGCGAAGCATTCGCTAGGCGAATTACTGGCGAGTGAGGTAGCGAAGGGTTCGCTAAACGAGTACCCAGCGAGCTGCCAGCGAACACTCTCAGACTTGGACAGAACCAAAAAGACTCAAACTCGCTGGAGCGAGTGGAGTAGCGAAGGGCTCGCCATTCTGCTCGCCTAACGAGCATGACAGTACAACATTTTATTTTTTTTGTTCCATCCAACATCGACTCTTCGACTCGGATGTGATTAATCTTATTCCGAATGTGTAGCTTATGTGTTGTTATATGATATGTTGTGGGTAGCCGTATGGCGTGAATCCTAGATTGTAGAATTTATTGTGAATTGTGGCCTTTTGGCAAATTATATGCATTGTTTAAATTAAATATAAATGCATGATGATTGTGATAGAGTTTGTTGCCGTTTAGGTGGTAAAGCGATGTTCGTTGCCGTTTGGCATAATTGGATGTGAATGTATATGGATTGTATGTGATAGAATGAGATGAATGCATGAATATATATTGTGAATATGTATGCATTTCAAGAGTGTCTTGAGTCATTTTGCATGTGAAGCATAATGATGTGCATTCTTGTGTTGTGGGATTCTAATGAGAATCCGTTGTAACATCGTGTGCCTATCTGAGGTGTGAGCGATGATTACAAACGATTGTGTGCCTATGTGAGGTGTGAGCAATCCATAAATATTGTGTGCCTATGTGAGGTGTGAGCAATGGGTGAACATTGTGTGCCCATGTGGGGTGTGAGCGATGGTTCCAATAAGTTCCTGAGTCAACTTGTGATGATTGAGTCAGTACCGCATTGCATTTGCATAGAGTCGTGAGTTGGTCTTTATGATTTGCATTTATCATCTTTATAATGGTGCATTGGTGAATGAACATAATTGTGTATGTTTATGTGGAATGATGGAATTGTGGAAGTATGCATGATGAATATACTTGGATTTATATGTATATATATATACATTGTGATGTATGTGGATGAGTGTGATGTGATGAATTGTGGTGAGAATGCAGAATATGTGTATTTTATGTTATGATATATAAGTATATGCATTGTTGTTATGATAATATTTCTCACCCTTCTGCTGTTTTATGGTGCTCTATGAGGCATTGCAGAGTAGGTATGCTGGAGGTCTTTTTGTGAAGCGTGTCTTCATTCTTTTGTTCGGTTGGCTCTGATATGTAGCATCGGGTAGCTAGGTTGTTTATGATTCTTTTGTGATACATTTGTATATGTATCTTGTTGGTGAATGTTTATGAAAATATGACTTATGTTGTTCTATAATTCTGGATGATGTATATATGTATATATGTTTGATGTTGTTCAATGTTTAGATTTTCCGCTTTTATTCTAAATATTGAGATGTGGGTGTAAGGACTAAGTTCCTCTGTTGCAAAGTTACTCCACTGTTGCATATCTATTGTTGAGCAAGTGTTGTATGTTTTAATTTCATGCGTAATGTGACTCGCCCCTTTTATATCATGTTTATAATTATACTCTGATGAAATTTTTAACATGTGACTAATTGATTATGTGATTATTTTGGGAGTATAGAAAGGGGGTGTTACAATGTTCAACTCAATATTGATTTTCGTTCAAGTCAATATTATTTGTTGTTGTCAATTAATTCTTGTTTGTCGTAGTTCAACTCAAATTCAATTTTTTATTGTTTAATTAAGTATATTGTGTTATTTATATTTTGGTATTCTATATTATTTAATTTAGATATTCTTAATTATTCGAAATTTATTTTAGTTATTATATTCTACTATTTTTATTTTGGTTTAAACTAATTTAATTTATTTTATTATAATTTTTTAGTTTAGTTAAAATATTCTTAAATGATGGTTGAAATGAAGTGTATAACTATATTATGTTATGTATTATTGATATTGTTGTATTAAATTTGTAATAGATTTTTAAAATATTTATTTTACTAAATTGTGAATGTATAACTATGTGCGACATATTTAATTTAATTTTATATTATTAATTTATTTAATAAATAGTTTGACTGTAACTTTAATCAGTTTAATTAATTAAACCTTAAACTGCAAGTTTCATTGGTTCGATCTCTAGTTAGATTTTTAAAACATTGCTTTAAATGGTCCTACTTCAACTTTAATTTATTTCAAAAGTATATTTCTCATTTATTTTGACAAAATAAAAATCATGTTCACTTACGAAAGAAAAGAATGAGATGTGGAATGAAATACATCCGAAATTATATTTTCAAATTAAATAAACTTTTCTTATTTTTCACAAAGTGTTCGAGCGCTCCTAAGGATACAAGAAGTAATGCCAAAAATACACAAGTTATTTTAAGCCCGTGTAAACCCATCTTTTAGTAATAATAGTTTTTGTTTTTTTTTTCAAAAAAAAAACTCTTATCATAGTTGTTTGTCAGTAGTATCACATGATCATTTTATTAAATTTTAAAAATAATATAAAGTTGTTATTCAAATCAGTTTTATTGATAAAATTTCATTTCAAGTTTATTTTAAAAATCAAACAACTTATTAGTGCGTCGAACACACATTATCATATTGACAGTGTCTTAAAATCTGACTACTTAGTTGATATATTTGGATATTGGTATATTTGTAATTATTATATTATAAATGTAGATTAAACAAAAGAAAAATACTAAAAACCCTCCATTCACCACATCGAGACTTTTGGATTAACATTTAATATATTCCACTAAAATTTCAGCATGAATTAGTGTTGTTCATTTAATTTCGGTCTACGAGAACATATTTGTCTAATACTACTCACTCATAAACCTAACATGCCCAACAGGTATCTTTATTTTCCCTTTTAAAGGTTAAAAAGGTTTCCTAGGCACTATTTCGAAGCATACATATATCTAAAATTCAAAAGGCTTGGAGGTGAAAGGTGATTGATTCATCAAACTTGAGAATAATGCATTGCGTTTAAATCATAATGTTCTGAAAATTTAGGGAGGTTTACATTGCTAACAATAACAAGAATTTTCAAACGAGTTTGTGATACTGAATTATGGGAATCCAGATAATTTGGCAGCCATAACGGAAATAAATAAGCCAATTTTAAGATGTCAACCAATGTTAACCCTTTAATGCAACCAAACAAGGATTGAAATGATTGAATTCTTTGGTCTTTATCACCGGGGAACTGCAAAGTCTAGGACACACCAACCAAAAAATATGGATTACAATCAGCAAGAGGAAGCAAAATCTGGGGGAATTAAGTGTAAGAACTCAAAACTTAATTATAAACACCAACATGGAACTTATTAAACTTAAGTTAATCTTTCTTAGGATTAAGCTAATCTATCATACAATAGAATTAACTTATTGGAACTTAGAAAGACTTCAAGGCTAAAATTTGAGTGTGATTATCATGTTGATCGTATATTTTCAAGTAGCAACAACAACAACCAAGCCTTATCTCACTAAGCAAGGTCGGCTACATGGATCAACTTTCTATCAAATAAGGAAATTGAATAATATAAAGTCTGCAGTTGGCACAGAATACAGACTACTGCTGTGACAAAAATTTCATTTGTGAAGTTATTTTCCCATCATACAGTGAGACCAAGGAAAATATAGTTTTTCATCTTGAATGGATCCAGCAGGTCTGTCACAATGTTTTTTCAAGTCCTATACAACAAAGTAAAACAAGATATCAGGATGAGCATAAAGAAGAAAAAGGTAATTGCTAATTACCATATCAGTTGCCCACCTGAAAGTGATATAACTACAATGTAGGAATTTGGTACCTAAGTATTTTTAGTTTTTTACAGCAGTAAGTAAAATAATCTAGTGTCAATACCATTGAGGCAATATAGTCAGGTCTGGGTAAATAGCAATCTACATCAGTGTTTATCAAATTGTATCTTTTGGAAACTAATGTGTACAGGCATACACTTTGAAGGACCAAAGCAAGACAACCTATCACGTTCAAGAATCAAATTATACTTCAAATATTTGAGTTATTTTAATTTTAGTAGCAAATATGGCAACCTTAAATTTTATAGTATCTAACACACGGTAATGAAGTACGGATACAAAAAAACTTTGCTGAATCGCACCTGATATGTACCACTACATCATCCATACGTATCAAAGGAGTATCCAAAAATTTTCTATAAAAACAAAAAATTCTGATATTAAGAATGGGAATCGCAATGAAGCTCTTCATCTTGCTGTGAAAGGAATTGGAAAATCTATTCATTAATTCACTCTTTAAAATGAAATAAGTTGAATCTTAAAATGACTAAAGACTTGGTTTAGGAAAAGCGAAGAATTGGAGGATCTATGCATACAAATTTGAGGCTTTTGGGTGGAAAAGCAAAGAATACAAAGAGAGTAGTAGTAAGATGTAGGTCATTGGTGGAGATGCATGGAAAAGTTTGTATGGTGTTGGAACCCTTTTTTTCTTTGAATTATCAAAATGTATTAGTAAAAATTCAAAGTAAGCACAAGAAGTGCTAACAGACAACCAAAAGTATTGAGATTACAAAGCCATCAATTAGCCTTTCAATAAAACCAAAGCTATAGAAATGGAGGCATGAAATTAAAACTTGAGAAAGGAAATCCTAAGACAAAAAGAAAAACCTGCAACTAAACTCCCTACTACAAGTAAAAAGAATCAGCACCCATTACTAACACAAAAAGAAAATCTCCTCTGCACATCTAGAAATTGAATGCAGAATGGAAACCAATTCTCCAAAACAAAAAGAGACAGTACCCTGGCAGCAAAACAAAACAGCCCTTCCACAACCTAATAAAGATTGCATAAATCCCCTTCTAACAAGCCAATTAACCATAAAAAACCAGAACATAAACCAAAAATATAAAATACATCACAAAGTCACAAAGTCACGGTGGACTGAATCAAGGAGTCGCAACGCTAATAAAGCACCAATGGAAACCAAGTCCGTTTGTGACACAAACAGAACCTTCATTGTATATCAGACCTCCCTCAAAGCACATATGGCGGGCCATCCAAAAACAACCGTCCTAAATATTTTGTGGAATTACACCATATACAAAATAAGAATTAATTTTATTTTTTTTTTAAATTCTAAGATATGATGATACATTTAAGATGAGTAGATAAATATTAGAATTAGAGATCATTTAAACCATTGTCTAACAAAAACCAAATTTAGAAAACAACTTTTAAGACATTACTAGGATAATGGAATAGTATAATGACATCTCTTTTACCAAGATCGGTAAACAGCAGCTTCCAAATTTGGCTCATCAAGAGACGATGCAACTTCAAGAGTTCTATTCCAATATCTTAGCTTAGATTTAATATTTAGTAATGTGTTAAAACTTTGGTTCTAAGATTGATTTTGGTTAGACAATGATTTAAACTGATGTCTAATTTTATTTTTTATATGTATCAAACGTATTGTATCCTATATTTTTCAGAGAATAACGTATCACCATATCAAATATATGGAATATGTATTGTATCCATACTCGTGTCGTGTCGTGTTTGTGATTCATGGAATGAACCAATGTTTCGCCATCAAAATTGAGTTCATAGATGAAATAGATATTTTGGAGAAAAGAATATTAAGAAATTATCAATACTCTCGGACAACATTTCAATTCTTGTTTTATATATGGGTGGTAGGAAGGGCATTTGGTTATGAATTCGCTTAGCTAACTGATTAAGCATCAACAACAACATGGAAGGACCTTTCAAGGAAATTCAAATTCAACATAATCATCAACAATTTCACACAGACAATGGAAACAACTACACTAAACTAACAGCAATCATCAAAAAGAGATTAAACAGAAAAAGTACCTTGAGAAAGCCAGCTCCAGCAAGTGGAATCAGATGCAATATTAGAAGTGAGTCTAGCATCAGCAATGGCACTATGAAGAGGCATCAATGATTCAACACTTCCAACAACCGATAAAATCCTTCAAAACAAACACATCAGCACCATCAAATTTCAACTCTATAAGCACAACTGAAAAAATTGAAGAAATGCTTTGTTCTACCTTGAAACACGAGGAACTTGCGAAGAAAAAAGAAGCGGAATCGAAGGTTTCTGAGCGAAGGTTCTAGAGCGATTAGCGAAGGAGCTGGAGGCTACTCTCGACGCTGATTTACAGAACGCGGAAGCCATCGCCGATGACAGTTACCGATGGCACATTCGACACTACCAGTAGTAGCTTGAACCCTAAACTGAACTATCATTGGGCCGGCCCAATAACTCACTTTTTAAGAAAAGCGCAATATCTCACCATGTCGGTGATTTCTACTCCAAAGAGCACCAATAGCACCTCCACATATTTATATTTATGAAAAAGTTCATATTGTCTTTAATAAGTAATAAATAAGACGATAAAAAAAGTTTATCTCATTCACTATTTTAAAAAAATAAAATTAATAAATTTTCAACAATCAGCTATGAGGTTCAAAACTAAAATTTCATTCCCTAGAGATAAATAAGAAGAACGAGGCGTATCATGTTAAATTAAAACTTGACACTTTTGAATTAGTGAAAGCATAGCTCCAACATCAACAACTTGATATGAAAATTCAACTTGACATAAGAAATAAAATATAGCAGTAAAAGTGAATACCTTGACGTATTCATTTCATGCATTTTAATCATGTTTTTTTTATCATTCTAATCAAAAAACTCATTTTGACGGAGAATATCATTAATTATCCCATATCATCTCCGTCAAAGTTTGATACAGTTTTTGAAGTCCTCTCTAATAATTTGAATGTTAAAGTATGTAGACAAAACATTAATTGTAGTGTTATATGTTATTGTTTTCCAAGCTTTGTCACTCTAGCGGCCCAAAATTCTTTGATCTCTAAGTACTTCATCTTTCTTATCCCCAACTTTTTTTTTGTATTTCTTTTTCCTGTGTCTTGCGTCTAAAGCTTCAGTATTGAACCATACTCTGTCCAATAAACTCAAGTGTTAGGTTGATCTGCAATGAAGTGTGTCAGATATGTTTCAAGGAACTTATTCACCACTTACGTTTGACCATCTGACTCAGGATGATAAGTGCAGATCATCTTAAGTTGTGTCTCTTACATCTTGAATAATTCCTTCCATAAATGACTCACAAAGATTGGGCCACGATTGCTTAATATGGATGACGGCGACCTTCCACGTAAACAAATTACTTTCTTAAGGAATGCCTATGTAATTTCCTTCAATGTGTACGGATGCTTCAATGAAATAAAATATAATCTATCCACTAGTACAAAGATAGTTTCAAATCCTTTAAACTTTGACAATCCTATTATAAAATCCATAGATACGCCTTTCCACACCCTTTCTGATACAGGTAACAGTTGCAGTAAACCCCTCGGAGATGATGTCAAATACTTTGATCTTTGACAAATGTCACACACACGCATAAATTTGCGCACCTTATTCTTCATTCCCAATTATAAGTTAGATGAAAACTCAAGTGTCCCCTTTATGGAGTTGTGTGAAATTCGTTCAACCAGTTGGGAAACAAACTAGAATCGTTAGTCTCCCTTTGTAATAAATAGGTTTGAGAACGAACTTTTTAATAGCAAGGACAATTTTATTATTATTTTTTCTGTTTAAATTTAAATATTAAGCTTAAATTTAATATGGTTTTTTACAAAAATAAGTATATTTAAAAATAAATTAATATCATTTAGGCAAAAATATTGTCTAATTCCTTTAAGTTATTTTATTATAACAAGTCAGTTCTTTATGTTTTTTTGCTACAATTTAGTCCTTTATGTTAACTAACGTGTTCACCGTTGATTTTTTCGCAAACTCCGTTTTAAAAACTCTTATGTGGCATAAATGAAGTTGATGTATCATTTAAGGAGATGATGAAGAACATGTTGAAGATGTTGAAGATGCTAGTCTATGTCATAATGTTGTTAGTTTTGATTTTTGTACTGTTGATGTGTATTTTGGTTCGGAAGTGGTGATAATTGTTAAATTTGATGTTAGTGTCGTAAGAAATGAATTTTGGTACCTCCATGTAACACTTGTCGTAAGATATGACTTTTGATATCGTCATGTAACACTTGTTGTATTTCTATACCAGTTTTATTACAGTAAAGTTGTAATTTGTACAACTTACAAAATTTGAAGGATCTGGTTGTTAAAATTTAAAAACAAATGGGACATGCTTGTAGCAAAAAAACATAAATGAGTAACTTGTTAATAAAATAACTTAAAGGACGTAGAAAATATTTTTGCTTATTATTTATCAAAATATATTTTATAATTATAATTAATATATGTAAAGTAAAATTCAATAAATAAAAATAGGTTAACATATATATATTATATTAATATTCAAAAGTTATAATTGTTTTGAGATTAGAAAAAATGAAAATAATATATTTTGAGACAAAGTTTCAAATTAATTTTTGATGATATTTATACTCATAAAAATTGTCAACAATTAAACTTTTAGTGTTTTTAAATATAACTCATAAAAGTTTAAACTTCATATAAAAAGATTGATAACTTGCTATAATATTAATCTTTTAAATTTTAATATAATATTATTATTATTATACTTAATTGCAACTTTGATCTCCTAATTATCATATTTTTAAATTTTAGTCCCCTCAGGTTAAAAACCAGTCTCTCTTTTAAGGTTTGTTTTAAATTTTAGTCTCCCCTTCCAATTTGTGACCAATTATTAATGACATGACATTGCAAATAATAAGCTTGCAGCGGTTAGGTGACATAAATAAAATATCATCTCATTTATATTTATTTTTACTTCAATAATAACATAAATTATTATGTTTATTAAAAATACAAAAAAAAATCAAAATTTAAAAAAAAATATTTAAGTTATAGTATATAAATGTTTTAACGAAAATAATAAATTATTATCTGTAAAAAAGAAATATTTTAATGAAAATAATTTGCACACGACAAATAAAAAAAAACGCAGAATCATTCAACAAATTGCACCATAGAATACAATCCCCAAATTTAAAAAGACAGCCTTTGATCAGTCTAGGACAAATCCACATCAATAATTTAATTTTTTTTTCTCAAAAAGGTAAAAAGAGAACACTTAGAATCTCTAGAACAATCGCCTTGTGTTATGCATACAGGTTCAGGTGGAACAGACCATTGAATCTCTAGACCTTCCTTCCACTGAGTAGGAGGTTTGTCTTGGTCCAAATGAAGGGTGCTTCTAAACACGTTACAATCATAACTCTAAAGGTGAATCTTTTAAGCCGGAGGCATATCACCAACAAAACAGGGGCGAATGATTTAACCCAATACCATTACTTATTAGCATGTTTTTTGTGAATGAAAAGTCTGAGGTTTAGATGCACTAGCAAAAGAAAAAGGTGGAGAAATATTTTAGCTTTTATGAATCAATGAGCCTAGCTTTAATGAATGGAAATAAAAAGAATAAGGTTTAAATCCACCCGATCCAATTCTTCATCCACATCCAGAAACCCAACAATTGAAGGATTCAATTTGGGATTTAGGTTTTAATTTTAATTCAGTTTGTTGAAGAGGATGAATGTTTCAATTTGAATTTCAGAATTTTCTAAAATTTTTTGAGCTTGTTTGTGAAAGAGGATGAAAAAGTTAAATTCCATTGAATATGAAAAAATGAGTACGGTGTTGGTTTCAAGGATTTGATATATAAAAAAAAAAGATCCAAATCCTATTATGAAAGAGTTGAACAATAGAGATCACTAATTTAAATAAAGTAAGAATAAAAATTGTTGTTGATAGAAATGCAAAACCAAAATTTTAAATGCCATCAAAGTCGTTACTTTCTGGATTTAGGATAAAGTCATGTTATTTTCATAAACCCCAATGAAACATAAAGTCATGTTATTTTCATATATATATTACAAATATTATTTTTAAAGATGGAAGTTGAAGCTTATGAATCTTCATAGAAATGGTCGGTCCATCTCCTGTAAGATAGAAATTTTATAACTGAATTTCTCTAACGATAATTTACTTGACAAACAGTATTATTCGTCCACTCAATTTGATGAAATGCGATATGCATAGACAAAACTGCAATGTTAAGTCTTTACATCAAGTTAGATTTTTTATTTTAACTAAAATGTTTTTTTTTAATAAATCATTTTTATTTAGGTAAAAAAAAAATCTATTTTAAAGTTAAGTATAGAAAAACTCTTAGGCCTTTTAATACTTTGAATTAGAGAAATCAACAATACAATAGCAAAACTACGGATTTAGTTTTTTATGTTATTTTAAAATATCAAATTAGTTTCTAAGATTTTTTTTTTAAAAATTTTGGTTCTTTTTTAAAAATTTCTGTTAGAATAAATTGCAAACTCATTTACCATTTAAATTGGTTTTTGCGCTGATCACAAATATGCAATCAAATTTATCAAACAAATTATGGTTCATGAGAATCAAATAAAAATGGACGAAATACATAATAAAAAATCAACAATCCGACCAAAATACACTATCAAATGTAAAACTAATTACATATTCATGATTAACGCGAAAAATCAATTCAAATGGTATATGAATTTGTAATTTATTGTAACAGATTTTTTTTAAAAAGATCAAAGCATTATAAAAAAAATTTAAGATACTAACTTGATATTTTAAAATAATTTAAAGGACTTAGACAAAAATCTTTTTTATAAATCATATTAAACACAACTATAGGTCATAAACTTTTTGGCCACTAACCTAAACTTGTGTGACAATAAGCATGGAGTTTTTCAAATTTATTTTAACTAATAAAACACAGAAAAAAAAACGTATGAGATCGTGGATAATATCCATATGTATAGGAGAAAATCTTGCTCTTTGCCATTATTATGCTAATAATCAGTATTATTATTATTTTGTCATTATTGTGCAGATAAAATATATTAATTTTATTAATAAATTAATATTGAGAATTCATATTAATTTGATTGAATATGTGAGTTTTGTGTATCTTATTGACTGCAAAAAATCTTTCTTTATCAATTTGTGGTTACATTAGTTATTCTTCAATTTTTTATTGGAGCGTGAGTTTTAAGAGATAACAAAATTTGAAAAATGGGAGCATATGCTCTCTAATTCAGAATAAATATTTTAAAAATCTATAGATGGTGGGTATGATGATGACAAAGGTCATCGTGAAATTTGTT